ATCTATCTAGCATGTCCCCTGATTTGAGTGCCTTCACAGTATTAATGTAGCCTATCCTTCAGTCTTGCCTCCCCTCCCTTCTAAGCAATTATGAGGTGTAAGCAAAAATCCTCAACCTTGTTTCTCTGGTGAATACCAGGTTAACATAAGTAAATCTTGGAAACTTAGGGATTTGCCAGTCCCAACTTTTTGTTTAACTTACATAATCATTTGCGTAGTACTGCATATGTTAAGGAAACATCTGTAGTTTTCTTATGCATTTAGATAAGATGAAAATTGTTTGCAATATTTGAAGTTACCACTTATTATTGATTTCTTTTGGGTCTTTTTTTTGTACTCACATCAGCGTCCTCCGATGCAGGGCCCTGAATGCCATATGCCTCCCCCTTTTCTTGGCATCTCACTTTGTGAATATCATGCTGTTAGCATAGTAAGATGGAGACTATAAGCGGCATTCCTCCTCGCTTTCCTTCTCAGACGACTGCGCCTTCCCCAATCAGAGCTGAAGGCTCCTAGAAGCTGGGATCAAAATATATTTTCAGATATTTGGGGGAACTCTCAGAAAGCTGTATGGTGAAGCACCTTCACAAAAAAACGTAATCAGTTGTGAACTCCTCTGGAGAGACGTGGCAACCATAGACAAAAAACTAAGCTCATTTTCATATACTGATTTTCCTTAGAGTGAGGTCAACAGGTAAACCCAAGATAAACATCGCCTTTTCTAACAGCACTCTTCTCTATTGTTCTGAGATGCTGATCTTGAACTCTTCCGCTCTCTCGATTCATCCTGATACACTTTCACCTTTAAAGAATAAGTGAATACATGAATGAGGCATGGGGGGTGGGAGAGAGACCTCTTCTTCTAAGCACTATTGCAACCTCATTCAAGAAATATATTACTGAATTAGCCATTCATTCAACCAAAATACATTCAGCCCTATATTGTATGTACTCGGCATATGTGGGGGTTTTTCCTTACCTACTTATCCATTCCTAACAACACCCTAATTTCTCTTCAGAGAATCACTTCTCCCCCACTCTGGGTATTCTTGGTGGGATGGTAAATCCAAGCTCCTGTCCTACCTCTATCAAAACCAATCGGCTCCCTGAAGATTTCTTCTGCCACATTCTTCCTCTCACCGCTCAGTACAGGACAAAATTTAAGCTCAGCCTATCAGAAGCAGTCTCATGAGACTCTGAATCTTAAGCTGATAACATGAGGCTAGATGAAATTACTGTTTATTCTTCCTGGTGGTCGTGCCCTTACAAGAAGAGTCCCTGCTAGGAGACTATCCCTATGGTTCCTGATTTGTAGACCTCTGTCCTTTTTCAAGCCCCTTTTATTTTTAAGGATTGGCACCTGAGCTAACCTCTGTTGCCAATCTTTTATTGTTATTATTATCATTTTCTTCTTCTCCCCAAAGCCCCCCAGTACATAGTTGTATATGCCGGTTTTAGGTCTTCTGGCTCTGCTATGTGGGACACCGCCTCAGCATGGCCTGATGAGCAGTGCTAGGTCTGCGCCCCAGATGCGAACCGGCAAAACCCTGGGCCACCGAAGTAGAATGCATGAACTTAACCACTCAGCCATGGGGCCGGCCCCTCAAGCCCTATTCTTTAACATTCCCATAAATTATTTGAGTTCCCAAAACCCTTTTGACCAATTCTCTTTCCCTTGGGTAACTGGAACTGACAATTGTCAGTTCAAAGACATTTGGTTTCTGTTGCTGGCAACCAAAGAACCTTGACCGAAATATTGTGCTAGGCACTGAGAGTACAGCAGTCAACAAGACAGACACGGTTCCTACTCTCATGAAGCTTACATATTAGTGAAGAATATAGGTTCATTCGGCACTAAGATAAGAAATCCTAGATTAGGAAAAGTCAGCCATTGCTTTCATATACCCTTACTGTAGACCATTCATTCATGCATGCATGCAAGAAATATTTATGGAGTGCCTACAAAGTACCAGACATTATAAGTATGAATTTAATCCATTTCATTTGTTTTGCCTAATCAACAGAATTATAACTAGGTCCTTCCTCCCTTGTTCTAAACTCCTTGTGTCCCCTAAATGTCTGAAGGTCAGGACCAGAAACACACCCATTAACCGTAAGCCGGAGCTGTTGATGATACAAGCCTTACCTCCTCTCACACTTCCACCCCCTAACCTTCCCATATCCTTGGATGCCGAGGAGGTGGGCCATCACAGATGATCGCTGTCTCCTTTGACACTTCTGACAAAACAGTAAGGATTGAGGTCCTGGGGAGGAGCTTCCTCAGACTTGCCCCAGAGAGAGTTCAGTACTAGTCAGTGTTTCCCAGCTTGCCCACAGGGTACCCAGAGCACAGAGGAGAATGCAAAGCCAGAGCCTGTGCCCTGAAGCTCCAAGAGGCTTTGTAAATTTGTTGACTAGTACTTAATAAAGAGCATTTGCCTGTGGTGTTGAGAAATGGAATCCTGCCGTACCCAAGCTGCCCTCCTCCAAACCTGGAATGCACCACTCTCAGCCTAACTAAACACCGTGTGATTTCCTGCCCGTGAAGGACTTCTCTTCCACCATGTCCTTGCTTTAATCATTCACTATTCCAATGTTTGTAGCTGGTCTCCCCAGGTAAACAGTAAGCTGCTGGAGGTAGTGGTCTAAGTATGACACGTCTGAATCTTTCTCTCCATGTCAGGGCTAAATGAATGCTTGGGGCTTGATTGTTGATTGAAAGCAGCCCAAAGGTTCTAGGGTCTCTTTTCCATAATCGCTTGAGTCTGTCTTCACACAGGAGTGGGCCATTTTGTGGGCCCAGGAAGAGCAAACCAAAGGATGCCTGAAAGATGTTTAAGCAGTGTTTGCCCTACAATTTCAAACTGTCGACTAATTTGCAAAACACCCATGTTTTACTAATTAGCAGGAGAAGTCATGACAGGAATCATGAACTTTTCTATAAAATAACATTTCTGTTCTTGACAGCATGTCAGGTCATTAGAGAGGGGCTGCATCTTCATCACTCCCACAGCAGCAGAACAATCAGAGCCCCATTGCTCAGTGAAAATCAACACAATCATGGGCATTTTCACAGCCAAAAATGATCCCCCAAATCAAAGCATTTCTGGAATGTATATATGCGTAGACTTGCTTATTACACCCAAATCTTGTCCTTAAATCTGTTTTCGAATGAAGATGACTTAATATTCTCAATTCAAAGACATTTTCTAACATTCAAGACACTTTGTTCATCGTTTGTGTTAGTCTTTTCGCACTCACTCACTCACTCACCTTCCTCGACAACAAAGTACCCATAAAGCCCTATAGGGAACAATGGTTGTGGGATTTCCTCAGGACAAAACTTCCTGGGCAAAGGGATTGACTTGGAGGCAGATATTCAGGGGCCTAAGGGCCTACATACTTTTTTTAATGTTGCATGAGATGGTGGATGGGGCAAAGAGGAGCCTAAGAGCTTGGTAGCAGTGACTGGCACCAGTCTGTTTGGCAGTCAGTGATGAATCTTGCTTAGGGGATCCAATGTGGGACCTTTAATGGAGCAGACATAGTGGGTGGGGCCACGAGGTGTGAGAGGTAAGTGGTGGAGGTTAGAAAGAGAAAGGGGTTAAGATGTACTGTTTCACTGTGCTAGAAAATTTATAAACCTCATCTCACTTGAGCCTCACCTCAACTCTATAATGAATATACTACTGCTATTACCACTCCAAATCTCACGTCTAGAAACCTCTGTCACCTCTCCATCAAGAGCTTGGATTTGAACCCAGATCTGCTGTCTCCATAGCCCACCGCACCATACATATTCACAAGGGTAACTGGGGACTTGGTTTATGGTATTGAAACCCAGTTTATCTTTCTTTCTTATTGGAAGGGTCCGACTGTCTTTATTTATTTATGTCTTCATTTATTTATTGCTTAAAGAGGTAATATATTCTCTCAGTACAAGATTCAAAAAATATAGAGGTATATGGTGAAAAGTAAATCTCCCTTCCTCCCTAGCTACCAGACCCAATTCTGCATCCTGAAGTCAACCACTGATACCAGTTGCTTGTGTATCCTTCCAGAATGTTCATCTCTTTACTCATTTCTACCCAAGGCCAAATGCAAGCAGCCTACCTGGCTGGAAGCCTCGGTGGCAGTATTTGGGATAACATTAAGAACACCACCCATGGTGCTTAGCCACAGAGTGCAAAGCAGGTAAAATTCATCTTCAATGCTCACTCTGTTGCCTTTGGGTGGTTCTTCTCACCTCCATCTCCCTACCGTCCTGCTCACCTTGACCTGTTCTTTCCTCCCTAGGGGGAACCGCCAGCTTTAAACAGCTCCTGTTCTGATACATTCCCTCAGGACCCTGCTTGCTGTTCCCTCAGGAGATGTCTTGGCTGAGAAATTCATCCCCACTAAGGAATTCATGGGTGTCTATGGCTTGATGAGCCACCCTTTTCACAAAACAAGTTTACATTTTATCAAGGGGCTTCAATCAAGAGAGTAACTTGAATAATGGAAATTTCAAATGACAGCCCAACAGGATGGAGTTTTTTTCCGAAAGGTATGACCTGGTGGCTCTTCCTCTTTACTTCCCCTGTGGATGTCAGGCCACCTGCGTATGGGGCAGCTTTGGCCACCTTTGTTTGGCTCTCAGGGCAATAAGGGCACTGATTTTGATTTTTTTCCTTTTAGAATGTGAACACTTAGAGTTTTTGAAACAAAATGTCCAATGCTGTAGAACTTTCTCCCCTAATATATCATAACTCTAGGCTCAAATCTTATCTAAAATGAGAAACTATAACAATGAATAGGAGAATTATTCTGATTTTAATATTCACTAAATGCTATCTCATTCTGCCCCTTCCAAAATAATATTTAGAATATGAAGTTGGAGCAGATGGTGTCTCAAATTCAACATTTTTCCCAATCTCGGGGTGAAGGGAGGTGGGTCTCTCTGCTGGGAATTATTGAAGAAATCTTTGTTTGTGAATGGAATTCATTTTTAATTCATCAGGTTATATTCTTCTCACACAAGTAGGCACAATTTCACAACTCAAGGGAGAGAAACAGTAGGGATCGTCATCAAAATGATCTGCATTAAAGAAAAAAAGAACATTTTCAGCCATGGCATTGGGGACTTTGCACATAGTAGGAGCATAAGAAGTTTTTTTTTTTTTTTTTTAAGATTGGCACCTGGGCTAACAACTGTTGCCAATCTTTTTTTTTTTTTTCCTGCTTTATCTCCCCAAAGACCCCTGTACACAGTTGTATATCTTAGTTGCAGCTCCTTCTAGTTGTGGGATGTGGGACGCCACCTCAACGTGACCTGGCGAGTGGTGCCATGTCCGCGCTCAGGATCCGAACCCTGGGCCGCCGCAGCGGAGCGCGCAAACTTAACCACTCAGCCACGGAGCCGGCCCCAGAAGTTTTTATCAAATGAAGGAATGAATAGAGGAATTAGAAAGGAAGTGAAAGTTATGGTGCTTTCCTTGGATAGTTTAATATGAATCTGGGATGGATTAATTCATCCTGACGGCACTGTTTAGGCAATTACAGGTGCGTGTGTTCTTCCTGCGTTGTGAATAACAGGCTATGTTATTCACAGTAACCTTAGCCTAGGGGGAGACATTCATGGACAAACCATGGAGTCCTTCACGAAGAGACGATATAAAATGGTAACACACATAGCTATATCCCATATGAGTTTGATATTCTTGTTCTGAAGGTTTAGCTGTTTCTCAAGACTGAGGGTACCCAGTGGTATAGAGGGTGTAATTTTTCATTCTGTGCTAATGGAATCGAGCTTCTGGCTGCCACAAGTCTGATGGCAGCATCCAGATTGCAGTTTTAGAATCTGTGGCCCAAGATGCTGGACTACTTGCCCTACTGGCTGCGTTACTGTCACAACTGATGAGCATTTTGATGCTGGCTGCAGGCCCCTGGGCTCTCCAGGTCTATGGCTCGGTACAGCAACATCCAAAATCCTGTACATGGTATTTGCTACTGCTCTTCCAAAGAAAAATATGTACATTTGGGCTGTAGATGACTTGCCACTGAAACAATATCCCCTGGGGACAGCAGGGAAGCCAATACTAACTAACCCTCTTGAAAAATATTTCCCAATCAGCCCCAACTATTATCTGCTAAGGAGCTTCCATAACTCAAGCCCTCTATCTGCCATGGTTCCCCCGTGCCTCCATATGAGCATCAGAACCTATCCACAAGTTAGCTGGCCAGAGTCTGAGGGATGCTTTGGCCAGCAAAAGACTTTCTCCATATGCGCCAACTTTCCCATGCAGAAATGGAGACTGAGACTCTATACACTAGTCAACCAGCCTAACTGGAAAAAAGTGTTGCCTCAAACAGTCCTGAAGCTGGTAGGCACTTTGGAGATTGTCCATCCTAGCCCCCTCATGTTGAGGGTAGAGAAAATGTAGCTCCAGGTAGGGAAGTGATGTGCCAAGGTCACAGAGTTAGTGACAGAGCTGGGACTCAAGCCAAAGCCTTTGGACTCCAAGTTTGGTGCTTTTTTTTTACCTACCACGCTGCTTCTGGATTGGCTGCAACCCTTGGAAACAGAACTGTTGTGTGGAGCCAACATAATGAAAACTACAAGTGGATAAGGCAGTTCTACCACCAGCTCTGAGAAGGTGGGAGAAGGACTACAGCCAGGCCACCAAAGGTGTTCTCTGTGTGTGAGCCGGAGTCTACTTTGGTCTTTAAGAAAGGAAACCAAAGGCCACCGCACCACCATTTAGATGGAAGTACAGAACACAGAATCATCACAACATCAACTTGAGTTCTTAAGTTCTTGCTCATTTTGCCTTTTGCTTTACTTTTGACCTTTAGACCAATCCTTAACCTGCATTTTTCCTCCCAACACCACCTCCACCTCAACATCTGTCTCTGTACCTAGAAAGTGGGCTTCCTATGGAAGAAGGTGAGCATCTAAGAGTGGTGTGCAGCTCGGTGGGTATTTTTGGTGGGGTGTGATGAGCACTAACCTGAGAGCCAGGAGACCTGAGTTCTGGCCCCAGTTCTGCTGCTGATGGGCTGAGTGACTGTCCGTAAGGTGTTTTCCTTTTCCTGCTTAAGGTTCCTCATCTGTAAAATGAGGGGATTGTACTAGACAATGCCTAAAGTTCCTTCTGCTTTTTTTTCTTTTTTTTTATTAGTGTAACATTGGTTTATAACATAATATAAATTTCAGGTGTACATCGTTATATTTTGATTTCCGTGTAGGTTACATCATGTTGACCACCCAAAGACTAGTTACAATCCATCACCACACACATGTGCCTAATCACCCCTTTTGCCCACCTCCCTCCCCACTTCCCCTCTGGTAACCACCAATCCAATCTCTGTTTCTATGTGTTTCTTGATCGTTGTTTTAATCTTCTACTTATGAGTGAGATCATATAGTATTTGACTTTCTCCCTCTGACTTATTTCACTTAGTATAATACCCTCAAGGTCCATCCATGTTGAAACAAATGGCCGGATTTCATCGTTTCTTATGGCTAAGTAGTATTCCATTGTGCATATGTATACTGCATCTTCTTTATCCATTCGTCCCTTGACGGACACCTGGGTTGTTTCTAAGTCCTGGATATTGTGAATAATGCTACGATGAACATAGGAGTGTATGCATCTTTATGCATTCGTGTTTTCACATTCTTTGGATAAATACCCAGCAGTGGAATAGCTGGATCACATGGTAGATCTATTTGTAATTTTTTGAGGAATCTCCAAACTGTTTTCCATAGTGGCTGCACCAGTTTGTACTCCCACCAGCAGTGTATAAGGGTTCCCTTCTCTCCACATCCTCTCCAACAATTATTGTTTCCTGTCTTGTTAATTATAGCCATGCTGACGGGAGTGAGCTGATATCTCATTGTCGTTTATGTTTGCATTTCCCTGATAGTTAATGATGTTGAACATCTTTTTATGTGCCTGTTGGCCATCTGTATATCTTCTTTGGAGAAATGTCTGTTCAGATCTCTTGCCCATTTTTTAATTGGGTTGTTACTTTTTTTGTTGTTGAGATGTATGAGTTCTTTGTATATTTGGATATTACCCCCTTATCTGATATATGGTTTGCAAATATCTTCTCCCAATTGTCAGGTTCTCTTTTCGTTTTGTTGATGGTTTCCTTTGCTGTGCAGAAGCTTTTTAGTTTGACGTAGTCTCATTTGTTTATTTTTTCTATTGTTTCCCTTGGCCGTTCAGACATGGTACTTAAAAATATGCTGCTAAGATGATGTCAAAGAGTGTACTGCCTATGTTTTCTCCTAGAAGTTTAATGGTTCTAGGTCTTACGTTCGAATCTTTAATCCATTTTGAGTTTATTTTTGTGTATGGTGTAAGATAATGGTCTACTTTCATTCTTTTGCATGTGGCTGTCCAGTTTTCCCAACACTGTTTATTGAAGAGACTTTCCTTTTTCCATTGTATGTTCTTGGCTCCCTTGTTGAAAATTAGCTGTCCATAGATGTGTGGGTTTATTTCTGGCTCTCAATTCTGTTCCACTGATCTGTGTGTCTATTTTTGTGCCAGTCCCATGCTGTTTTGGTCACTATAGCTCTGTAGCATATTTTGAAATCAGGGAGTGTGATACCTCCAGCTTCGTTCTTTTTTCTCGGGATTCCTTTGGCTATTTGAGGGTTTTTCTTGTTCCCTATAAATTTTAGGATTCTTTGTTCTATTTCTGTGAAAAAATGTTGTTGGAACTTTGATAGGGATTGCATTGAAACTATAGATTGCTTTAGGAAGTATGGACATTTTAACTATGTTAATTCCTCCAATCCAAGAGCACAGAATATCTTTTCATTTCTTTGTGTCTTCAATTTCTTTCAATAATGTTTTGTAGTTTTCAGTATACAGATGTTTCACTTCTTTGGTTAAGTTTATTCCTAGGTATTTTAGTCTTTTTGTTGCAATCATGAATGGGATTGTATTCTTAATTTCTCTTTCTGCTACTTTGCTGTTAGTGTATAGACCATATTCATTTATTTTTCTGAAAGTTTTTTAGTGGATTCTTTAGAGTTTTCTCTATATAAAATCATGTCATTTGCAAATGGTGACTGTTTCACGTCTTCATTTCCAGTGTGGATCCCTTTTATTTCTTTTTCTTGCCTGATTGCTCTGGCTAGGACTTCCAATACTATGTTAAATAAGAGTGGTGACAGTGCGCATCCTTGTCTGGTTCCTGTGCTTAGAGGGATAGCCTTCAGTTTTTCTCCATTGAGAATGATATTAGCTGTGGGTTTGTCGTATGTGGTCTTTATTATGTTGCGGTACTTTCCTTGTATACCCATTTTATTCAGAGGTTTTATCATAAGTGGATGCTATATCTTGTCAAATTCTTTCTCTGCATCTATTGAGATGATCATGTGATTTTTATTCTTCATTTTGTTAATGTGGTGTATTATGTTGATTGATTTGCGGATGTTGAACCATCCCTGAATCCCTGGAATAAATCCCACTTGATTGTGACGTATGATCTTTTTGATGTATTTGTTGTATTCGATTTGCTAGTATTTTGTTGAGGACTTTTGCACCAATGTTCATCAGTGATATTGGCCTGTAATTTTCTTTTTTTGTGTTGTCCCTGTCTGGTTTTGGTATCAGGGTAATGTTGGCTTCGTAGAATGAGTTAGGGAGCTTCACCTCCTCTTCAATTTTTTGGAAGAGTTTGAGAAGGATAGGTATTAAGTCTTCTTTGAATGTTTGGTAGAATTCACCAGGGAAGCCATCTGGTCCTGGACTTTTATTTTTTTGGAGGTTTATGATTGCTGTTTCGATCTCCTTACTGGTGATCAGTATATTCAAATTCTCTATTTCTTATTGATTCATTTTTGGAAGGCTGTATGATCCTAAGAATTTATCCATTTCTTCTAGATTATCCAATTTGTTGGCATATAGCTTTTGATAGTATTCTCATAATCTTTTGTATTTTTGAGGTGTCTGTTGTAATTTCTCCTCTTTCATTTCTGATTTTATTTATTTGAGCCTTCTCTCTTTTTTTGTTGGTGAGTCTAGTTAAAGTTTTGTCAACTTTGTTTGTCTTTTCAAAGAAGCAGCTCTTGGTTTCATTGATTTTTCTATTGTTTTTTAAGTCTCTATTTCATTTATTTCTGCTCTGATTTGTATTGTTTCCTGCCTTCTAATCTTTTGGGCTTTGTTTTTTCTTCTTTCTCCATTTCCTTTAGGTGCACTGTTAGATTGTCTACTTGAGATTTTTCTTGTTTGTTGAGGTAGGCCTGTATTGCTATAAACTTCCCTCTTAGAACTGATTTTGCTGTATCCCATAGATTTTGGCTTTTTGTATTTTCATTTTCACCTTCTGTTTTTAACAGTCTGTGACAATTGTTTTAATTATCCATGGATTTTTTTGGATCTTCAGTCTCTTCTCTCCTCCGTTATTCTAATAGCCTACCAGATTTATACAGACTAAGTTCACTAGGTGCTTCTATACACACTTTCTCAGCCAAGAATGAACCCAGGTATATACATGCACATGTGCATTTCCTTCTGAGGAGGCAATATTTCCCAAGACCATTTATGTAGCTTCACATTCATTCAATATCTCTGAGACATCAGTGCAGGCGATATAGCATTTTCTCTCACCATTTGGGAAGCTCATTTGTGAAGGAGTGCCTTGTGCGGAGCCTAAAGACTTGAAAGTGGAGCTAGTTGCAGTTGACTTGAGGGATGGTGTCAACAATTTTTGCTTGAAGGTTTTCTTCAGTCTTTCCTTTTTATACCCAATATTTAGCCCATACCTGCTGGCATCTGAAAAGACACAAAAAATAGTTAAAAACATAAACCTCACTAAATTCTACACTTCAAATGGGTAAATTATACCTTAAGAATTTTGTTAAAAAGTATAAAGCCCGATGTACAGAGTGTTCATTCTGGGTACCTCAAGGAGTCAGCTTTTCTATGAAGTTGTAAGAAGTAAGTATGAACTGTAATGTATGCTACAGGCAAAGTCAATTCACTTACCAAGGATGCCTGCTTCCCCTAGAGCCTGGCACAGGGGCCAGCAGGTTACTGACATGCCCAACATAAAGGAGCAGGATCTCTGTGCTACTTATAGAATCTTTGAGTTCAAGCATTGCCTTCTCTAAAGGAAACAGACTGAGCTTTGCATTGAGACTGAGTGAAGCTGCCTGAATTGGATGGAGGAGCCTTTTGATACATAGAAAATCAATTTGCCTGGACTGGAGACATCCTCAGAGGCAACGTCAGAGTCCTCTACATTTCCCACTGTGCAGGAAAGGTCCTCAGTCCGTGTGGGAAGCCCACTAGCTGGGCATCCTAGGGATGCTGCAAGTTCTCTCCATCTCCACCATCACTCCTTGCTTCCCACAGCCACTCAACCCACTGTTGGCTACGGGCCAGAAAGACCCTGTGACTCAGTGCGTAGAACACAGTAGGCACTCAATCAATGTTCTTTAATTGAATTGAGACTCAGTAGACAGCAAGGGCAAGCAATCCAAGGAATTTGGGCCAAAAGAGAAGCTTTATTAAGTTAAAATATGGCCCAAATCACATCTTTCACCTGACTTCATTCATCTCGGCTCAAAAGTACAAATCATTTTCATGACATGAAAACAGCTTCCATTTTGATGTTGATGCTGTATGAACTCAAATCAGGAGACAAGTTAATCTGATGAGTTTTGTAAAACCTGTAGAATTCAAAACCTTACCCAAACTGACATCTTACCAGAAGAGTCACTCAGTCGAAACCACCTGCAACAGAGGTGTATCTGCCACTGCTCCCGGACACTCTCCTTCATTGCACAGTGGAATACAAAAATGAGGAATCCTAAGCCAGGAAAAGAAGGTCAGTCTTTTTCAGCTTCTTTCATTCTGTCACCAATGCTCACACTCAGGCCTGCTGTTGTCATCATTAATACCTCTTCTAAGGAACCCCAGGGTCATTACTGACTTTCTGCGCTTATCTTTCCAGCCTCCCTCCCAAAGTCAGTGATGGCAAAAAGGTCTCAAGACTTCATGTTAACCACAGTATTCCCCCTGGGCTGCTGTCCATCCTGGAGCTTGAGAGATGAGGCCTGCAATGGGAGCTAGCCTCTGAGACGGTTCTCAACGATCCCCACATCTTGGCATTCACATCCTTATGGAGTCTCCTCCCACATTGTACCAACAGAATATGGCAGAAATGATGGTGTAGTCACTTCCAAGATTAGTTTATAACAGACATTGTGGCTTTCTCTCTCTCCCTATTATCACTTACTCTGAAGGAAGCCAAGTGTTATGTCTTAAAGACACTCTGACAGCCCTGTAGAGAGGACCACATGGTGAGGAACTGAAGCTTCCAGTCCACGGCCGAGTGAGTGAGCCTTCCTGGAAGCCGATCCTCAAGCATCAGTCAAGTCTCCAGATGACTGCAGCCCGGCTGACAGCTTGACTGCAACTCCGTAAGAGACCCTGAGCCAGAACCACTCAGCTAAGCTGCGCCTGAATTCCTGACCCTCCGAAACCATGTAAGATAATAAGTGTTTGTTGTTTTAAGCTGCTAAAATTTGGGAGCAATAACACAGCAATAAATACCTAATACACATGTTCTTTGGCACAATTACACTGTGTGGAAATCATGAATTCGGTGCCCTCAATTTCTACTGCCAGCTCTGATTTTTGTCCTGCAAGTGAGGAAGGGGTGCTGATGGTATCCACTAGCAATTTTGGCCATTTCTCATCCCCTAAGTCTAAAATATCTTCTTGGGGGATGAAAGTAGGACTCATGATGATCCTTATTGCAAATGCCCTGGAACGCCAATTGGATTTCCTAAAGTTTGGAAGTAAAATTGTCAACAGCCTGGCTTTTATTTATGGTCCATGCTAAAAGTCTTTATTCACAAAGCCTTTCCAGATGCCTCAAACTGAAACTCAGCTTTCCCACTCCTGAGCTCCCATAACACTTTGTTTCTTATAACGTTTGCCATGTTTAGCCGTATTATTCTCCATGCACTGCCCATCTCTCCAGCTAGCTGTCAAATCTTTGAGGGCTGAGGTAGCTTTCTCTTCCGTCTTTATATCATTTCTCCCTTTGCCTCCAGTATTCCGTGTAGCAGCTCAATAGATGTTTGTTGACTTGAACTCCAAAGCCCTTAACACACAAACTCTCATGGCTTTCTGCAACCTTAGTGATATCTTCTTGGGCCTCAAAATATTTCTTTTGGTCCAAGTGCAGTTTGGAAACCTTTGTTCTCTATATAAGGTTCAGCTTGCCTCCTCATTGGCCAGTTGTTCTGAAGGTAAATGATTAGTGATGGATTGGAGTGGTCTTAACTCATTGCAAGGTGAGCACGAGTCACTAGTAAATGCCCCCAAAGCTCATTTAAGCCAGGGAATTAGTGGAAGTAAAGAATCTTGCATGAGGAGAGTAAGCATCTCCTGCCATTCTGCCCTGGTTTAGCCCTTCCTCCTACCAGCACCAAACTGAGTTTGGGAGGCTTTGTTTTAAGAAGATGATAACAAGTAGAAGTATTCAGGAAGAGAGCAAACAAGAATAGGGATGGACTTGAGGAAAGGCTGAAAGAGCTGGGGTGCTGTAATTTGGATAAGAGAAAACTTGGAGTGTGGAATATAGGGTGAGGAGAGATGGTAGCTACAGTCACAGATCTGAAAGGCTGTCAGGAAGAGGATAAGCTAGGCTTGTTCTGTGTAGTTGTCAGGTTGGAACTCAGGGCAATGGGAGGAAGCCACAGAGCAACCGTGTAATGAAAAGTCAAGCTAGTCTTCACTAAGCAATGACTGTGTCCTAGGCATTGTGCTATTAGTCTCATTTTTACAGATGAGAGGCCTCAGAGTCCAAGTCTAGTAAACTTGACCGAGTCACAGAGCCAACATTGATCTGGCAGCCTCAGGACTGAACTCAGGCAATCTGAATGCAGAGCCCAAGGTCTTAACCACTGCACTATGCTACCCTCAGGAAAGGATGACCCAGATAAGATTAAGGGCTGAGTAGAAGTTACAATAGCAATCATGTACAATATGTAAATTTATCTAATCAACATGTTGTTCGCCTTAAATTTACACAAGGTTGTATGTCAAATACATTTCAATAAAGAGAAGTTCAATGCTCTGCTTTATGAAATGGTGAGCTCTGTGTCTCTGGGAAGTTTGAGGTAGAGGCATGTGACTTCTGTCACTCACTGGGAAATTGGATTGGGAAGCTCTTCATTCCCAGGTCCCAGCCCTGAGACTCTCTAATTCTGGATGGGAGGCAGCAATCGGGAGGCTAAACGGAATGACATGTTTCACTATGTCCCCTGAGGGCTTTATCTTCATTTGTAACCAAACAACACTGGTGATGAATCTGGCAGCATTCACTCTTTTTCTGAGCAGCAGCCACCTGGAAGTTGTTGCAGCCACCGAATGAAAGCAAACCCCCATCTCAGAGCAGCTAAAACCTCTCCATCTTCAGCGCAAACAAGGGGCAACAGTGGCGACAAGCACCTATGGCTGCTCTGATTTCCTGCATGGGGTTTAGTTCGTTCTCAGGCTTAAAGGTTATTCTCTGAATTCCAATGAGCTGCCTGCCAGCTCTCCCTCTCTGCCTGACAGCCTTCTTTTTTCTTTCCAATAACAGATTGATCTGCTTACTCACTAGAACATAGGCATGCGGGAAGATGTCAGGTTTTTGTCACCTGCATTTTTATTTGTGCGTCCCTCCTTCAGAAATGGCTCATCATGGGCATAATTTTTTCACACCTGACCACAGGGCAGCCCCTTTCAACCAGAATTGCAAACTTGCCATCTGTCTTTTAAATGGCTAATTTGTTAACTCGTTTCACTGCATTCTTGTTTTGACTATTTGGGGTGTGTATGTTTGTGTGTGCAACTTGAGTTTGAAACTCAGGGCTCTGAAAACACCCTCTCTGCAAGATGGCACAGTCTATCTTGTAGGTGGGACTAGCAACTAGAAATGCTTGGTGATTGATTGACATAAAGCATGTCTGACAGACAGACAGCTCGGCTCTGTTGATGCTGGGTCTACAAGGCTCTGGTTTCGGTTCTTGGGAGGTCCTCCTTGGGATTCTGCTTCTGCCAATGTAGGCTTCCTGCTTAGGTACTAGCAGTCCCTTCTACCATAGGAATGGAGCTCGCTGTTTTGAAAACACCTCTCCCCGCTTTAAGCTCTAAACTGCTTTGCTTTCCTGTTTTTTTTTTTTTTTGTCAGCTTTCCCTTTCACCCCTCTTTTCATAGGGTAAGTGTGTTCCTCCTCAGAATTAGTGAGCCAAGAGAGGCCTGGAGTTATTGCTGAGGAAAATGTCTGCACGGGCACCTGGCTCCTAATCCACTTCTCTACACATTCTACACCAAGGCTGGTTGGTTCTTAAAGCATGCTACAGAGACCAGGGTGTCTTAGCGTAGGCCAGGTAGGTCTGTCAATAGGGAAAGTATAGAACTATTACCAGGGCCTCAGTCAGCAATGCAGGAGACAACCAAGTGCTGCCAGCCTCAAAAAGCGAACCAAGCGAGAGGGGCATGGAGAGCTCCTAAAAATGTCATCCTCACCCCCAGAAGGCAGAAAGTAGGCATGCGGGGGAAGAACAACACATTTTGTGCCTTTTTGCATTGCAATCCGAATATGGCTAGATCAGGTTGGCAGAATCTGGTGGGACAGAAAGTTTCAGTTGATACACTTCATTGCTCTAAAATGAGATGGTTGCTTGAATAATAAGACATGAGGGCAAAAACTGCACCTGATTCTAGATTGCTTCCCCATCTCTCTGCAGCACCTTGCAAATGCCTGGCATATAACTGCACACCAATTAATATTTCCCAAGCTTCCTCAAGGGTTAATAACCACAATGACAAAGTGTTCTGAAGTGTTTTTAAATGCTGGGTTAAAACGAATCTTTGAAGGTTTTTCTCCCCCAGCAGAGTTCCTCAGACCTTGACCATGCTAATGTATATTGTGCCATTTCAAGAATGGGGGAATGGGGGCCAGCCTGGTGGTGCAGCAGTTAAGTTTGGCGGCCTTGGGATCGTTGGTTCGGATCCCAGGTATGGACCTACGCACCGCTGGTCAAGCCATGCTGAGGCAGGCATCCCACAAATAAATTAGAGGAAGATGGGCACAGATGTTAGCTCAGGGCTAATCTTCCTCAAGCAAAAGGAAAAGAGGAAGATTGGCAACAGATGTTAGTTCAGGGCAAATCTTCCTCAGGAAAAAAAAAATGAACATCAACAATTACTCACAGGTATATTAACCAGATCCCTTGCTTTTACTTATCATGTCATCTTGGCCTACCATTTAATCATTTCCTCATCATTTGCTCCTTTCACCAGAAAACAGGAATGAGATTAAAGAGCTATAGAGCCATTCACTTAGGCTCATCTAACTCAACAAGTTGTGGTGACTTTTTCAAGGTTGATTTGCAGCAAAACGAAGACTAGAACCTTGGCCCCTTGCCTTGGTCCACTGCTTTTTGCTCTTTACCTTTGTTCCTCGATGACTCTGTAATTTCCTAGCCTGGCTCTTTCCCACAGTATTAGGATATCTAATGCAGCCAGAGTCTATGTGGTCAAAAGTTTAATGTTTCTACTGTCCAATAATTGCTATGTTCAACTGGATTGTGCATTTCGAAATGTCAACATAAGTGTGAATCTGGACACCTATGAGCAGAATGTGTTGATGTAATGAATACTGTAAGAAGTATTGTCAAGCAGCATTTGATATAGACATTGCCAGTTAACTAGGGTTGGGTTAGCTATCTAGGCTTCTCTCTGCATCCCTGAGTAAGAGAGAGTGGGCTCATTTAATGAAGCCCTAGCATCTAGCTAATGTTTCCAACGGCTGCCTGTCAACTCATTGACAGCAGAAGCCTCTTGGAGTATCCTCTCCTCCTCCAAAACCCTGAAAGGTGAGATTATTTTCTAAGGCAGCAAAAGCTTTGGTGGAGGTCTAGCTAGCCACAGAAAGTGCAAAGAACAGCAGTTACCTTGCAAAGTGTTAAAAATGGCAAAAAGATACAAGAAAAAGATCCTCACAGGTCCCCAGGCAAAAAAGGCAAACCCCCAGGTGAGGCCAAGTAAGAATGTCAGGCTTGTTGTGCCTTTGAGATCATGCAGGATCATCTTCTGCCGAGTCTTCTGGCTATGGGCTTTCATGGAATTCAGTTTGGCAAAAACAATGCAGAACATGGAGAGATTCATGAGAAAGATGAAGCAAAAATAAGCCACAACTGAGATGTAAAAGATAGAATCGTCTTTAATCCAACAACTGCAAGAGACAAAGAAGAGAAGACCATTGTGAGGTAGAGAAACATAAACTCCTATTTTTCAGCAAGACTCTGAAGATCACCTAGTCACAGTTTCATTTCACCTGAGAACACCTAGACCTAGAGAGACGAAACAACTTGACACAGTTCATTCACACTCACTAGGGGCGGAGCTGGGACTAGGAACTTAATCTCCTGAGCCCCACTCCAGGGTTCTTTCCAGTGCCTAATTAGAAATCCTAGAGGATATTTCTGCCCTATATGTGCAGAAACCTCTCAATCCAATTTCCTAGAAGGCTACTGTCTTCCTCAACAACAGAAGAACAAATTATGTATTTCCCCCCAAAGTGGCTCTCCTCCCCCATGTCTTACACCTGAGCTTTTATTTGAGGGATGAATTCCGCTTTTCATGATAAGTATCACAGTAAAAGGACAGTAAGCAATGACTGGCTTTTCTGAACGCTGTATCAAACAATGATAAGATTATCAGAGTTAATGAAAATGCAACAAAAAAGCACAGCTGTCATTGCATTGCTTTAAAATATGATGTATATTTTAAACGTCCCACCACATTTACAGGTTAGGACTACAAAAGGCAATACTGGCCACTGGATTGATTAATGGCTCCACAGTTTCTATTAAAGAAGAAATATGTGAGCCAGCCCTGATGGCCTAGCTGTTAAAGTTCAGTGTGCTCTACTTCAGTGGCCCAGGCTAAGCTACTGGACGTCAAACCACACCACTCGTCTGTCAGTAGCCATGCTGTGGGGGTGGTTCACATAGAAGAACTAGAAGGACTTACAACCGGGATATACAACTATGTACTGGGGCTTTGGGCAGGGAAAAAAAGGGAGGAAGATTGGCAACAGATGTTAGCTCAAGGCGAATCTTTCCCAGTAAAAAAAAAAAAAAAAAAGAAGAAATGTGTAGTGATTCCTATGAACAAATATTTTAGCCAACATCATTTCCAATTACTGGAGGCATCACCTCTGATTTTTGAACATAGACAAGCTTCATTAATTTAATCGTGTGTCAACTTAGCTGAGATCTCTTTTCCAGAACCAAGAAAATCCCTTGTGGTCACATTGTTCATGTTGGTGTGGATACTTGCATGTATTTGTGAGTTTGTGTGTACTGGGAGGGGGCGAAAAAAGCATTTAATTTCCCTAATAGAGACTAATACTTAGGGTTCCTTGAATATCATCTTCAGCCTTAAAGAAGGATATAGAAAACTCTTGAAAAGTGGCAGAGCTATATGTTTGGATAGAGAATCATCTCCTAAACATATTGTTAAGTATCAAAAAGTGTATCTCTACCCCTTAGGTAACAAAGTGTGCAAGAGAATATGTATGCAAATTTGATTGCTGGTAATAAGAGTTGCATCAAGGGAGAGAAGCTGGGTAGCTGGGGTTGGGACTGGGGCTTACTTTTCATCCTCTACCCTTTTGTACATTTGAATTTTGTACCATGTGCATGTATTACTTCTTCAAAATATAATTATTTTTCAAAAAGCTCTTAGAGCAATCTACCTCTTACTAACCAACGCACATATGAAAGGGCTCTACTCAGGGCGAGTGGAGTTGGTTTTGTTCTTGTTTTTTCTTTTGCTTTTGATCTTTGAAGAACCACCATTAGACAGACACTAGGGATCCTTTAAGCCACAAAACAGGCAAGGAGGGAGGACAAAGGAGGAGATGAGAAGGAAGGGAAGAGAAAAGGGAGAGAAAGAAAGGATAACAAGGAATTATAATTAGACGGCATCTGCTGGAAAGGGCAATATAATTTTGACCTTCTGGAAACTGTCATCTCAATATGAAAGACAGAGGAGTCTCGGGGGCAAGACCTCCTACGTTTCACGCCAGTCTGGTGGGAGGGAAAATCTATAGCAAAAAATAGCTTGGGAGGCAATGATAAAGAGAATAGATATGGGTATGTAAAAAAGAATCAGAGTGTGAAATGAGACTGTGCAGTCTAAAGGACTACATGGTTACTACCTACAGGCCTGTAAAAGAAGGTTCTAGAGAGGTGGGGCAAAGTGAATGGCTAGTCTCTTGTGGCTGTGGATGAGAGAACCGAAGAGATGGGTTTATATGTTAAAAAGAAAAGAAAAAGAAAGAAAGAAAAGAATGTCTAGGACAACAAAGCTGAGCCAATTTGCAAAGGAAAGTGGTGGAGTCGTCTTCAGGGGAGAACTTTGTTGTTGAAAGGTAGAAAATGTTTTCCAACTCATCTCTGTATTTCCTTATAGTGGCCACTCCAACTCCTTCCACCTTCTGTGAGCTTTCTAATCATAATCACAATAGCTGCCAGTTATGTAGCACTTACCAGGGAACAGGCCACATGATGAGCACTTTATATATATGATGTCATTTTAATTTACGCACAACACTGAGAGCAAACATTATTATACCCATTTTCCAGAGGAGGAAATGGAAGTAAGAGGTAAGGTAACTTGCCCAAGGGCATAAAGAGCCCAGGCACCTAACCATTATGTGAGTGTGCACATGACTGTGTTTAGATCAGAAAGACTGAGGCTGAGTCCTCCCTAAAGTCAGAGTCAAGACTAAGCCCTAGGCCTGGAACACCCCACCGTTCCCTGATGGTCAAGAGCATCACCACCTGAGAAGCAGAGATGCTGGTACTTACAATGGAGTCTTTGAGCTCAGAGTTCCATACAGATCTCTTTTCACACTGACTATAACTGCCACCATGATTGCTGGGATTCCTAGAGTGAGGAAGCAAGCCAAAGGCATCCCATTAGGAAGCGGGGGAGAGATCCTGATCAATGAATGTGGGCACTGATACATTAAAACACTGTTTAAATGAACCACAGATGTGCGGGCATCAAAATACCATTGTTTGCAGAATGTTTGTGAATTCTTCCAAGTGAAACATTTCTAGGAGTTCCCCAATCTGCTAAACTAGACAGCATGCCGATGGCTCCAATACAACGCCCACTGGTTATTAAAAATAGCTCAAGTGCCAAAAAATCAACTTGGCAACAGAAATATCTCGTTCATCGGAATATAAGTTCGCATCAAGCATTTCTTCTCAGATGATGGGCCGCCACTTTTTCTCCCTTTCCCTCACTTCCCAGTGTCTTTATTTCTAGGTCACCTTGGAGGCAGGGCACAGGCAATCATCAGCAACCTTCAGTGCCTTTCTGACAGGGGAGCTGTTTCCACACTCGTTACTAGTTTGACATTTTGACTAGATCGACCAGTTAACAACCAGTCAATTCAGCCAGACTATAATAAAGCAATCAGTTCGGTCTAAGTGGTCAAACGTGACATGAGTATAGATACAGGGTTTAAAAATCCAATTTCATGTACATTTGCAAAACTTAAACGTTTTCTTTGTTTCTAACAATGCATTGCTCCTAAACTAAGAGCGTTACACCCGCATACATTTTAAGCATTTTGTAAGATATATCCAAAGCTGTTCCGAACCCCAGAGTGCCGAGTATGTGTGTCCTATTCTGTGATAAACTGGACAGTCCCTTCCAATGTGTGCATCACACCTAACACAGTGCCTAGCATAATGTAGATGTTTAAGAATATACCTGTTGGAGGCCAGAGGGGAGGGGTGGACGGAGGCCTCACATTTAGGATGGAAGTTGTGAGGCAGTCTCTAAGCTGTGTTTACACTTTGATAATTAAAACAAAAAAGATCCCTAGCGCTTACCAAAAAGAATGTGGACAACACTATTGCCTTGGGCCGGGATTTAGATAAAGGAATAAAACCTTTTCAACAGGTTGCTTTGGCATTAGGAAGATAGAACTTCAAATACAAACAGATGCCAATATTTATTTTCCTTACAGTTGATTGCATTTGTCTAATATTTATTGATTTAATTTTTTAATTGAAATATAATTGACATCCACTATCCCATTAGTTTTAGGTGTACATCATGGCGATTCAATATTCATATACATTATGAAATGATCACCACGATGAGTCTAGTTGCCATCTGTCACTGTACAAAGTTATTACAATATTATTAACTATATTCCCTATGCTGTACATTATTTAAATGCTCTGAAACTCCCTGTAGCGGGACAGCTCTGCAGTGGCTCCCTGGCGACCTCGCAGGTATCCACGTAGACTGAGTAGGCAAAGGCTTGAACAGCAGCTGATTTGAATGTGGGCAGAACGCCTTGTGATCTTCCACGAATTCAAGAAGACGGCAGGCCAGTGAGGAGGTGCTCTGAGGCTATCTCCTTCTCGCCTGCCTCTCCTCTGGGAGGCTGTCAGGACACTGTTTCTCATCGCCTCCCAGGTTCTGAGGCGGTGTGGTGCTTTGCACCCTACCCCCTCAGAACAGAACTGTGGAATATAAAACCACATAGCTTCAGTTTCGAACTGGCTCCTCCGCAACAGGGAATCCCACAGCTCGTGTGGCAGCCATCTGTTCCCTTTTGTTTTGGTGTCGTTCTTTATAGTGTGTGGGACAAGGACTTGGGAGCTGGCACCTTTAGCTACTCTTCCTTTCGCCGCTATGGAAGTAATCAACTGAATCTGAAAGTGGCTCGTTGTATCTTTACTGGTCGAGCCAATCAGCCCTTGGCCTTGGCTTGAGTGTGTACTTGACACCCCCCAAGTTCTTCCTGCCTCCAAGTACCAAGCCTTAGCCTTTCCTGCCTCTCCTTGTACCCCAGGAAGTGTGTGTGGAATGAGAAGATCAAAGAGGTAAGAAGCATGCTCTGGGGAACACCAACATTGAAGGAGGAAGGGTCTGAAAAGGAAGCCGAGAATGAATAATGACGAGGGAGAAGGAAAGCCAGGATTGAGTGCTATTTACAGCCCCCCCACAGTCAGCCATACGGGGGTTATCTACTTTCTGGATTATTCATGAAGACTCTTCCACAACGTTTTTCAATCTTCCAGTTGACTGGAGGTGAGGGCTGCCAGGCATAAAGCGGAGTGTATTGACTGCTTTTGGCTCTGTGTTTCTGATGGATTCCAAAGTGTGCAAAAACAATTTTTGCGATTATGCTTTGTTAAGCATTTGCCTGTCTTTGCTCCCTATATTAGCGTGGATAATAGCACTGACTGCGTACCCAATGAAAGCATGTGCTATGTTAACGAACTCACTAAAAGGATGGGTAGCTAATTGGGAAGCTATTGTCTTCACAAAGGCAATGGAAGATAAAATCTATCTTCCTATGTATCCTAAGCATCCCACCTAGTGTGCATCTCCTATGTGGCCAAGGCATTTTGTGAATTCAAAATCTGTCTTGAACAGGCAAAGGGTGGGGGAGGAGCTGAGCTGTGTCAGTTAGAAATACAGGAAAGCAAACCAAAGAAATGACATTTAAATTAGGAAATAGTCTTGCTGAGGCTCATTTCTGCCCCCTTCCATAGGGCAGCAGTGAGAGTGACAGTCATGAGGGGTGGTAAGAATCAGGGCGTGTCTGGGCGAGCACGATGTCACACATTGCAAGTCCTTTCCCTGTCCCTTAAATCAGGGGGTTAGATCACATCGAGTGAAAGCCCAAACTATGGAGACAGACTCCCTGGTTCAAATCCCAGTTCTACCACTTGCTAGGCTGTGTGAGTTTTGGCAAATTACCTAATCTCTCTGTGCCTCAGTGTCCTCATCTATTAAATGAGAATAATGATGAAGCCTTTCCCATAGAGACATTGTGAAGATTAAATGAGTATGTAAAGCTCTTAGAACGATGTCTGGCACATGTAAGCGCTACCTAAGTGTTGGCTGCTGTATCAGTAAGTATTTGTTGTGACTATAACTTCTACAAAGGGAAGGATAAAATCTGACAGGTTTACTCCCATAGATCCAGCATTTAGCTGAGTACACAAGCAGGTGTTTATAAATATTTGTGAACTAATCCCTCCCCATAAAGGTTAAAAGTTGAATTTATAAAGCAACATAGGCAGAAAAAGGGATGCACACCCAACCATCAGCGAGGTAGTTCTTAATTCCTTACCTATGATAATAACAGAATTTGGTCCCCAATAATTTGTCTAATAGAGCTAGAATTAGAAAGACACACACAGGCTTTTAAGGTTTTAACACAGGCATCGAGGACAATGGCAGATATACTTACCCCAACCAACTAGACAAAATTTAAGGATATAATTGGGAATGTATACATTGAAGACTTGGACTAGAGCAAAATACATGTGGAGCGCCTCCAGGCCCATCCAAGTCAAAGAAACCAGCAGGAAGTAATGAAGCACGACTGCGGCTGTGATGCAAAGTCCCTCCTTCTGAAATGATGACGACCAGGAATTGACCAGAAATACCAGGTTTAGCATCAGTAGTGCTGTGCACAGGTTGATCAGGATTTTGGAAGGATAATCTTTGCGAAGTTTGCTAAAAGAAAAGGCAAGATGTTTAGTTAGGTAGGGTCTCTATTTTTAATGAAGCGTTGCCACATCTTATTTGCATAACGAGTGAAAGAATGAAAGAACTGCCTATTAAAATTAAATTACTCATGGTACCTTACAAGTACTGAATTTTAGAGTTCCCAACCCTCTTTCCAAATTGAGTCAAAGTATCCTAAATATAGTGACCTTCACTAACAGGAGTAATAATAGCCTCTCTCAATTAAGCAGTATCCCCCTTTTTTTTTTCTTTTTCTTTTTCTCTTTTGGAGAGAAGGAAGGAGTTTCCTGGATAGTACAATTCTGTCTTCACTCCTTCAGCAGACACAAGGCTGGATCTACATGTGACCGAAGAGCAGGATGACCATGAAAACCATTTCAAGTATTGGGTGTTTCCAAAGATTCAGACATTTGGCATCACTAAGTGATCACAATTGTACTTTGTGGAAACTGACCCAGTATTTTCCAAATTAAATATGTATATTTCCTTTTCTTTTTCATTTCTAATAAATAATTCTTGATTTAAATTTTGCAATTTTAATTTTGTGTGTGTAGGTTTTTTTAAATCAGGGTAAATAGTAAAGTACACAAGTCTTAAGAATGTAACTCAGTGAATCTTTTCATATGAATACACCTGAGGAACTTCCACCCAGATCAAGCGATAGAATGTTTTCAACATCTCAGAAGGCTCCTTCATTCCTTCTCCCATTCAATACCCCCCACTAGAGTAACCAATATTCTAAATTCTATCCCCATAGATTTAGTTTTGCCTGAACTTGGAATTTCATATAAATGGAAGCATACAGTATGTTCTCTTCTTTTTCTGCTTCCTTTGCTAAACTCTATGTCTATGAGATTTAGATATTATGTTCCATTGTATAGAAGTTCATTCATTTTCACTGCTGTGAAGCATTTCATTTTATGAATATACCACAATTTATTCATCCAGTCAACTGTTAATGTACATTGGAGTTGTTTCCAATTTGGGGCCATTATCAATGAAGCTGCTGTGAATATTCTTGTATATTGCTTTCAGTGGCTATATGCACTCATTTCTCTAAAATAGTGAAATTTCTGGGTCAACAGCTAGATATATATTTGTGTTTAGTGGGTATTGTCAAAGAATTTTCCAAAGTGTCTGTGCCATTTTTGCATTCCCACCAGCAGTGTGTAAGAGTTTCCGTTGTTCCACATCCCTGTTGACACTTGCTATTGTCAGAATTTTTAATTTTAGTCATTCTGGTAGGTGCGTAAAAGTATAATTCTGGTTTTAATCTCTGAGGAGTAATGATGTTGAAAACCCCGTGATGTACTTATTAGCCAGATGGGTAGGATTTAGGGCTAGGCATGGATATCCTCTTTTGTGAGGTGCCAGTTCAAATCTTTTACTTATTTTTACTTGTATTGTCTGTCTTTTGCTTTTTGATTTGTAAGAGTTTTTTTTATATATTTTGCATACAAGTCTTCTGTCAGATATATGCATTGCGAATATCTTCTTCCAATCTTTGATCTGCCTTTTCACTTCTTAACAGTGTTGTTGAAAGAAGTTTGTAATTTTAATGACCCAATTTATCAACTTTTTCTTTTATGGTTAGTGTTTTTGTATCCTCTTAGAGAGATCTTTTCCTATGCTAACACTCTTGCTTTTTTAAAAATCCAATCACAATCTTTTTTTTTTTTTTTAAGAGGAGACTTGGTTGTTGTTGTTTTTTTTTAAACCCGTTCACTTCATAACCTAATGGATCTGACTTCTTCCTATTGTGATGAATAGGAAACTTTGTACGAAGTTAACAAGGTTCCAATGACAGCAGCATCCACCAAACCAAATTAAACTTACTCTATCAACTTACTGAAAGGCTATGTACGTCACCACCGCAACTCCCAGGAAAATGGAGGAGATTCCACATCCAATGTATGTTATAAGCACTAATATCCGTTCATTCACTGCATCCACTGCAGACCTGGATAAATCCTAGGGAATGCAATGTGTTGTATTTTATACATTCACCAGAGCAAGTTTATGGTAAAATGCTTCCAGTGCCCATTAATGGGAGGTTCCCAGGATGTGTAGCATCTCTGCTATTGCTCTTATAAAACCAGAGTATGCAGATGGCTATATGATAAGACCGTATATTGTTTGTTGAGTGTGTCTGGTGCGACTCACTGTGTACAGGGCCTGAAGAGCCATCAACAGCACTGGAAGAACATTTAGTCCTTGGTTTTATTGTCATTAACATGTTCCACACTTAAAATATAACCAAACTAATAGATGTGAATTTGAGATGCAAAGTGAATCATTATCTGAACTGAGCGTCCCAAAACACTACACAGAACATCAAAAAAAAAAAATGTTCCTTTTCCTTAGACCTTACATAACTTTCATAAAATTAAAAGACAAAATGGACCTTAGGGAGCACATAATCCAGTAGTTCTTAGCCTGAGGACCATAAAAGACCCAAAGGGGCATGCAAAATTATTTGAATATATGTGTACATTTTTCTGGGAAGAAGGTCCATAGCTTTCATCTGATGCTTATAGAAATTCGTGACTCATAAAAGGTTAAGAAGCGCTGGTCTACCCTGGTAGTTCTTACTGGGAGCGATTTTACCCTTCCCCCAGGGATATTTGACAATGTCTGGAGACATTTTTGGTTGTCACAACTGGGGAGGGTGCTACAGGCATCTGGCAGGTAGAGGCCAGGGATACTGTTAAACATCCTATAATGCACAGGACAGCCCCCCAAAACAAAGAATTATTTGGCCCAGAATATCACTAGTGCCAAGGTTAAGAAATCCTGGTCTGCTCCAATCTTTCACATTTTAGAAGACAACTCTAAGGTCCAAACAAGTGAAACAACCTGACCAAGGTCACACAGGTAGTTAGTGACAGAGCTGGAACGTGAGCCCTGGTCTTTTGACTCCTACTATAATGTTCTACCCAATTTGGAGGGAGCTAAACAAAGTTCTTACAATTCAATGAGCATCAGAGGAGCATCTCTTATTTATTGAATAGATTTGGTAAAAAAAAAAAAAAACAAAAAAAAGAATAGAAATATAGAACAGACTCTCAGCCTTCACAGAGCTTACCATTAGCAGGAGAAACAACTCATGCATGACACATTCAGATAAAAGCATACGATAATATATAATAAAGTAACTTAAAAGAACTAAGAAAGTACTCAGGGGCGGGTAGAGAAGAAGGAACACATTTAAGAGCTGTTTTAAAGGAAAACTCAGCAAGTCCCAATGTTAGGGAGGACCATCAGGAACAAGGGAAACTATAGTTAAGGAGAACTCTGAGGCTCTATGCCTGGATATGCGAATTAATGAGATAACTCTTGTTTGGTTAAGTACTGCAAATGTTAAAAAAAATACCTCTTCCCCACACTGCAACTTGACAATAACTATTAAAATTAAAAATTATAAGGACCATACCCTTGTGGTACATATATACAATGGAATACTACTCAGCCATAAAAAAGGACAAAGTTGTCCCATTCACAGCAACGTGGATAGACCTTGAGAGTATTATGTTGAGTGAAATAAGCCAGACAGAGAAAGATGAACTCTGTATGACTCCACTCATAGGTGGTAGTTAACATATGGACAAAGAGAACTGATCGGTGGTTGCCAGGGGAAAGGGAGGTGGGGGGAGGGCACTAGGGGTCAAGTGGTGTACCTACAACATGACTAATAATAATGTACAACTGTAATTTCACAAGGATGTTAACTTTTATAACCTTAATAAAAAAAAATTATAAGGACCATACCCTTTAACCCAGCAATTCAACTTCTGTCAATTTATCCTATAGAAATACTTACATCAGTGTTAGAAGATAAATGAATAAAAATGTATATTACAACATTGCTCATAATGGAGAAAAACAGTAACAACTAAAATGCCTACTTAGGGTGGATTGGTTAAATTCATTGTGTTAAATTGTCAGAATGGAATACTACAAAGGTGTTTTAAAAATTTAAGTAGATGGATATGTATTTGCCTGAAAGGTGTCCAATATATATTGCCAGGTGAAAAATAAGTGGTAAAAACAGTGTAAATAACTTGATCCCATTTTTATAAAACAAAAACATGTTAATATACACATAGGAAAAGAATCTGAGAGAATATACATGAAGGTGTTAAAGGTGTTAATTTCTTGGGAGGGGAATTATAGGGACCTTTTCTATAATGTTTGAATTTTGAGCAGCAGGCATTAATTTTATAAGGAGGAAAATAAATATTTGCTTCAATCTGCTCTACTTTGGTTGAACAAAGTGGGACTTTTTCCACCCACATGCCATTTTTCCATTCCTTAGTTCACACGTATATTCCTGGTCTGTAATTTAATAAAAGTTGTCAAAATTCTATGAAGGAGTGATTAAGGGAAAACTTACCATTAACACTCCAAAATGGGTGAGGTGGTCACACTGGCAGATTGTGTGATTTACGTTTGTTTCCTTTACTTTACAGCCTGATGAATTCCATCCACCTCGCCCATCTGCAGGAGACAGAAGGGAATTTCAAAGCAATTTTGTTTTTCTCAGAAATATTTAACTTTTTGTTATACGCACCTTCTGAACGTGTGTTGTAATTTGCATTGTTTGTTAAGACAGCAAGATAGAGGTATAATTGAACACGGAAATTAAGTCTAATAGGCTAAATTGACTTGTTAGGAACTTTGTGAATGGCATAACTTTGGCTCTTACTTTTCCTGTTCTTGTACCATACTTCTACAGATTAGGACAGACTCTTATCATGAACAACAGTCCTGCCGCCATGCTGTGGTGACAGAGTAAGGACTGTTTTTGAAAGTAGCACAAATAGGAAACAGGTATTTCTTGAACTTTTTGAAGGACATGAGCTATGGAATACAGTCTGACACTTGAGCCAACTCAGTGGCATTGCAATAAACATCTGAAACAACTAATTCAACCCAGAATTCAAATGGTCTCGAATGCTTTACACTCAAGCCAGATCATGTTCTGGAGGTCCTTAGGGCCAAGGAAAGCCTCTGGTCTACTGGACACCTGCCTCGTTTCTCACTCCTGAGCATATTCATGGTTCTAGAATCAACTCTCAGACTTCCATAACCTGCAGGTCTCGAGTAGTAGACCAGGTGTAGAGTCGAACCTCCAGGGTAGCACTAGACCAGAGTGCTTATCCTAGGGCAAGCAGCTAAGTGTGCTCAAAGTTTGTCCATCCAGGATAATTCCATAGATCCCAGAGGTTCTGGATTCATGGACAGAGGGGTGGGAGCAAAGGGTGACCTGGGAGGAGCCCAGCAACTGGCATTAATGAACACACGGATCAACTTCTTGAGGCTGTGAGAGACAAAGCTCATCATTTTATCCTAGGAGACTTGGAGAGGACCCGGAAAGGACAGTGCTATCTCTGTTGTAGGAAAGGAACAGTATTCCCACATCCCAGGGAATTGAATGGGAAGAAAATGTCTCTTTCTCCCAGAATTCCAAGGATACTAAAAAGGGAAAAGTTGCCAAGCAGAGCTTCTACAGGTGGAAGGACTGGTCACACAGCCGCTCCTGGCATGCCAGGGGAAATTGATTCTGTGTGGGAATTCTCTGAGATTTGGCGATATCCCTGGAGATTCCAGTGGAGATGGCAAGCCTAAGAGGAATCTGTTCAGTAACCCTGATCCCCAGTCCTTTCCATTCTCGTCCCTGAAGACTCATACCTAGCCAAGCAGGAAGGACCCTGAGAGACCAACCAGGAAGTCTTATGCCCTCAATGAAAAGATAAAAAGATTGGGGCCCTAAGAGAATAAATGGACTATCCACGGTCACACAATCAGTCTAGAAGAAATGAGGGGAAAAAAGGGAAGGAGATAGTAGACATTGCAAATCTCCATGGGAAAGCACAGATCAAGAGCCGGATGTTCACTCCTCAACTTTCTTCAAACAGCTCAAGGCTGCTCTGCACTAGGGTCTTCCAAATTTTCTTCCAACCTTGCCTACCCCTGAGTTGTGTGATTTTTCTGATCTCCCAAATAAGTCTCTTACCAAAAAGAAATGTTTAAACTCGCATTCCCTAATTAGATATAAGACTCATATTTGGATTTTGGTCAGTCAGAGTTCTCTGCAGGCTCTGATAAGATAGTAGCTTCAATATAACTCCCTCCCATCCAACTGCCGAATAGGAAAATGGTCAGGGGCAAAGTCTTGTTGAGAGCCAAAGACAAAGCTTGCTAGGAATAAAACTTACTGTTACTCCCAAAGTCCCAAAAGGCACAGTGAACTTGATCGTAATTCTAGATAAAAGAAAAATCAGAGGTGAAATACCTTTCCTTGTGATAGTTACCACACAATGACAACTACACCCGTGTTTTTTTCTCAATGTTTTTCAAACAGTAGACACACACACACACACACACATACACACAGACCATTTGTGAGTTGTTTTTAAGACTCAACCCAAGTAACTTGGGTTTACAAGTGAGAAAATAACATATTAATGCATGGTGATCTGGCACATGTCCTTTAAAATGTTTGGTAACAGGAATTTGCCATACCCTCCTGGTGCAAGGCCCAAGAGGAGGCTGTGGATGGCTGGCGCCCGTCTGATGTGTGGTAGGTACGCCTTGTGGAAGTTGGGAATTTGGGGCTCACAGCTGAGATCAAGCCTTGTAGAGTGAAGGTTGGCTGCCTCCTCATTAAGCCTGGTGAGCATTCCTGAGAACTCACCAGCTCCCACAATCTTCAGGGAACTGGAGGCAATGAGAAATTGGTCATTGGGGGATGCTGGGAGGGCTGTGGCCCCAGTGGGAATTGAGAGATCTTAGCCATTTGTCATGTTTCATTTGGTATCTGGTTTGTTTTTTTTAAGTTCCCTCTCCCATTCTTCCTTCTTCCCTTCTAGAATAAGATCTGTGAAAAAGATGCTGTACCATATGGTCTTTTAGATTGGGAATAAAGGAAGCTATTAAGACGTCACACTGGACATACATTACCATCAAAGAATGGCATAGTAGTTCGTTCTTATACTACAGCTAAATTTGATCATTTAGTAATATATACCTTATGTTATGCCATATGACTATAGTTTTAATCCTTTGGTGATAATTAATACATATTTTAATGTTCTTCATGGAAATTCAAAGGATAAAAATTTTCAATTATTTTGAATTAAATTGTTTGCCTCACTCAAAAATAAATGGAATTAAATATCATTTAGTGTGATGGAACAGCTAAAACATCCACCTGCCCCCGATCACTCCTCAGCCTATCTGTCACAGTGCTAGAAACCCACCATCAGTTACCCCTTTAGGCTAAGGCATTATTTCTAGAAGGCCCCAATTACAACAAACCTCTGCTACCTAGAATGGGACAATCTTCATTAAGTCTTAGAATCACATCTGTTAACTAGGCAATTACTTTTAACAGGAAAATCATGGAAGAGTTCCGAGGCCTTTTTATTCTGACATGCAAATGGATATGTTACCTGGTTGCCTTCAATGTGCTGCAGAGTAATAACCACTGGGTCAGGCAAGTTTTGAATGGATGTATCTGAAAGGCTGGCACTCACAACATATGTGGTTAATGATTTAGTGACGTTTTTAATCTGTAGATGAAACATGTAAGAAAGAGGGTTCAAGTTCTACATTTCTAATTTCTTGCGTGTTAATAATCTAGAATTTTGAAGTGCTACACGTTAGGTACTGAAATATGGAAAATAAAATCACAAGCTAAGGGGCCGGCCCCGTGGCCGAGTGGTTAAGTTCGCGCGCTCTGCTTCGGCGGCCCAGGGTTTCACCGGTTCGAATCCTGGGTGCTGACATGGCACCACTCGTCAGGCCATGCTGAGGCAGCGTCCCACATGCCACAACTGAAGATACACAACTATGTACTGGGGGTGCTTTGGGAGGAAAAGGAAAAATAAAATCTTTAAAAATAAAAAAAATCACAAGCTAGGAAGAAATTTTTAATTTTTTTATTTCTTTGAGGAAGTTTAGCCCTGAGCTAACATCTGCTGCCAATCTTCCTCTACTTTATATGTGGGATGCCTGCCACAGCATGGCTTGCCAAGTGGTGCCATGTCCACACCAGGATCTGAACCGGTCAACGCTGGGCCCGCCAAAGCAGAACGTGGGAACTTAACCGCTGCGCCACTGGGCCGGCCCCCAGAAGAAATTTTTAAAGGTCCTTTAGCTCATCTCCTGTCTTCACATAAGGTCTCGATTATGCCAAGCTAGAACAGTTCGTTAATCCACCCATGCATCCAGATATCTACCCAAGGAGCATTGGTTTTGCTCCTACCACTCAGGACTGCGCTAGCAACAAAGTGAAACTATTCCCTACTTTGATAACTCTCTGGACCCTGACATTTCACAACTTATCCCGGTTCCAACTCTCAACCATCCTTACTTACTTTTAGGGGACCCCTCCTTACAAGGAACATAAATCCATCATGGGTTAGTTATAAACCACTTCCTGTTCCATCCTCGCTGGAGATGGAAGCAGTTGATTAACATGCGGCTTGGAACAAGTCTCTGAGGACTGTCATCTCCTCCCTAGAGGACCGTGAACCCTGAGGCCGGAGCCTAGGCCTTGGGTGTCCTGGTGTCCCCTGCATGGCCTAGCACATAGCAGGTGTTTCATCTTATACCCACGGTGAGCCAATTACTTTGTTAAGTGATTTGCGCACACAGTGTCTTCAGCCCTCACTGAAACCATATAGGCATTTTTCAGATAAACTGAGGCTCTGGGAGGCTCAAAAACTTGGACAAAAGTCACATGGCTAGTGAATGATAGGACAGGGATGCTTAATAAATGTTGGTTTAAAGGGAACAAACTAGAACGTAGCCATTGAGATGTGGAGCTTGCTAATTAACAGGGCCAACGTGCCACATGCCAAGGCTCTGGGAGGCAAAGCAGCTGGGAGACCGCCTCTCCTGGGGCACAGGTGAAGAGATAAGGGTTGGGCAGATCCAAGACAGGAGGGAGAAGAAGCAAATCCTCTGAAGACTTGCCAAGAAAGCCTAGAGGAGCTGGGCCCAAATAATGTCCCTTGGGGAGACCGCCAGGCAACTTTTAGAAGACTGCAAGTCCTCCTATTTCCGAGCCTTGCAGCCATTGAGAACTGGGTAATTGGGAATGCAGCCTGGGGCTCCAGTGGGAAGCTACTCACTTCCTGTTCCTGACCAGCTCTGTTCATTCCAACCAGCCTGATGGTGCTCCCGTCCCAGAAGAATTCCCCTGGGGTAGCCTAATGCAGAGGGCAGTCTGCAGTAAGATATGGTGGAAAGGGCCCAGTCAAAAGCCAAAAGACCAAGTGTTAACCCAAGCCTTCTTGTTTCTTGAAATTCCCTTCTCCTTTCTGAGATATTGGTGACATGAAGGAAGGTGAACCAGATGATATTTAACAACCCCCTCCCCAACTTAGTATAATAGAACAGTTTTCAGAAGTGGAGAGGCCAAAGCAGGAGAAGCACACAGTGACCCAGGACTTAGTTAACCTGTTCTCTGGCTTTATTTCGCTTACCTACAAAATGGCGGCCATGCAGAGAAAGGAACTAAATCATTTTTCGCTCCTCCACCCTTTGTGCTCTAGGCTCAAGTTTTACCTATTTCACTTCTGAACCTTTACAGAAGCTGCTCTCTCTGCCTGAAACACTCCCCCCTCCTTCTTCTAACCCTCTTTCATTGTCTAGCTCCTACTCAACATCAGGTCTCAGTGGACACCTCTCTTACACTAGGCTTTTCCTATCTATGCTCCCAGAGTCCCTGTGCCATACTAGACTTGCCTAGTGCTTCATCCCTCTGCCTGAGGAACGCTAGTGGAGGAACGGAGGATGAGGTACGTGTTTTCCAAGAGTGGTGTCTTATCAGTGATTTTTAAGGTAATATGTTGTAATGACAGTTACAATTTTGATCAAAAGACGGTAGAGGAAACAATGTGAAAGCAAGGCTGTGAGACACAGGAGTCCGGGGAAAAGGTAGTTAAAGGGTGGGTTCTCTTGCAAGCATTCACTCCCCAACAACCAATGGCAGAGGTCCCAGCCTCAGGCTATCCCCTTCAATGTTAGAATCTTTAGGTCTCTGTTTTCTCCCATCAGACTGTAGGTTTCAGGAGGGTAGGCACCACGTGGATCTCTCTTGCTCACCACTGTATCCCCAGCACCCAGCACCACACAACACGTATAGTAGGAATTCAATAAATATTTGCTGACTGAATAAGTAACTGCATGGATAAATGAATAAATTGTGTCACCTCCAGGAGGTCCCTTCCCCTTTCTGGGTCTCAATTTCTTCATTGGTAAAATGAGGAAATGGGACACTATGAGCTATAATTGACCTTCCAGCTCTGAATTTGATGGCAGGCTATTTCTAATCCTTCATCTAGCACTATGACGTCTGTAGGCTAATTTTGTGAAAGATCTTTAATATCTTTCAGTGGAAGGGATGAGTGAATAAAAATTACTTATTAGGTGTGAAATCTATGCAAAACAGGTTTCTCTTTTATTCTATGAGGAAGCACAGCCCTTTGAACAAAGGAGAGAAATTAAGACCAAAATAATGACATCTCAGGAGATACAGAGAAATTACAAGCCTAACAAAGGGTCAGAGTGTTATGAATCACATTCTTAATTTTTATTATAATTTTATTCATTAGCTGGCTTGTCCTGGGTCCAACCTAATTTTTTCCATTAAAAAAAGGTCTAATAAATATATTTCTACCAAAAACATATTGGGTACCTAGCCCTGTGCTGGGTGCCATGAAAATAAAAAATGTCTGGGCCATGACATATGCCACAACCTACTTGGAGAAACCAGTCTAGAAACTAGGCAGAAGTATAAGACAAGAATACAAGCAGGGGTTGGGGAGGAGAGCAGGGGCTCACAGACTCTGGGCAAGCTTTCTGAGTAGGATTGGAGCTAAGCCCATAGGAGCAAATAGAATTTAGAGAGATAGAAAGGGGAGAGGCTTGAGAATACCAGGAGACCAGAATGTCTTGCAGACACAGCTGGAGATAACGTGGTATGTTTGAGCTGGTGTGTGGTATAGGTATGGGGTATATTTTAGTTGGCCAGGTACAACCTCCCCCAAAATAACTCTGAATATTTGACCATTAGAAATTCATTCCTCTGGGTAGTCTCTTTGGAAAATGCAAACACACCTGGATAAGTTAATGTATTGACCTCTTAAACACTTGAACTTTGGAGTCAAACAGCCTGTGTTTGATTCCTAGCTGTGCCACTTCCAAGCTGTGTGACCTTGGGCAAAATTACTTAACCAATTTGTCTTATTCTGTTCAGGCTGCCAAAAAAAAATCCCAGACTGGGTAGCTTCTAAACGACAGACATTTATTTCTCACAGTTCTGGAGGCTGGCAGTCCAAGATGAGGGTGCCTGTGTAGTCAGGTTCCGATGAGAGCTCACTCTCTGGTTCATAGGTGGCACCTTCTTGCTGTGTCCTCACATGGTGGAAGTGGTAAAGGAGCTCTCTGGGGCCTCTTTATAAGGGCGCTCATCCATTCATGAGGGCTCTGCACTCGAGACCTAGTCACCTCCCAGAGGCCCCACCTCCTCATACCATCACCTTGGGGGTTAAGATTTCAATACATACATTTTGGGGGAACACAAGCATTCAGACCACAGCACGCTTTGAGTCTCAGTTTCTTGTGAGAAGTAAATGAGACAGTAAGTGTAACTGTTAACAATTAATAGCGATCATCAACAACTTCATGCAAATTCTGATCGCTGTCTTCCCCATAGCTGGATGGGACAGAGCGGGCTGAAGGAATGGGCCTTTGTTAGGCAGAGCCCCAAGACAGACAAATAATAATAGCAATACAAACACGTGGTGCTTATTACGTGCCAGGCAATATCCTAAGCACTTTCCATGTATTAACTCCTTTAATCCTTCAAAAGTCCAGTGAGGTACTGCTATCACCCTGTTTTACATAGAAGGAAACTAAGGCATGTGGAGGTTGAGTAACTTGTCCAAGGTCACACAGGCAGACGATGGCATAGCAGCTTTCAATTCAGGCACTTTGGCCCCAGAGTCCACACTTTTAACTGCGACATCATATTGACTCTCTGTTTTAATAATGGGTGAGGACTGGAGCCCTCAGAGAAGGTTCTGTAGATGCGGGGGTGAAGAAGCAACAAATGCCTGCAGGCAAGTGTTCTGCTGGACACCACTTAGCTTCAGATACATTGGCCCGAGGCGGGGGCATGTTGGCTTTGAGGAGCCGGGGAGGATTTGGGAGGGAAGCACTGACAAGCTGAAAGGGCATTTCATTGGAACTTGCTGTTCTTTTCTGGCTTTAAAATATCTTGAGGCCTCTGTTTGGTCACCAGATAATCCTTCAGGTTCCTTCAGAACTGAAAAGCTGTGAAAATTAAAAACTGTGGAACATCATTAAAGCAGACGTTGATTCATGTTGAGGGCCAGGGGTCGTGCTAGGAGACTTGTGGAATAAATCACACAGCATATTCTAAAGTAAACAGAACATCATGAAAATAGCAAGAGTTCATAATTACAATGAGTCACCGAACGTCGCTCCATGACAGTTACCAGAGGCAAGGACTTACCTTAAAGAGTGAAGTCTGGCCAAAGAAATTAAACAAGATGGTCTGTAAGTTGCTAAGAGAAATTTTCTCCCTCAGTGATTTAGGCAAATATATGGAAGCCAAAACCCTCCCCAGAGGGACTTCGCCTAGGTAAATCTGCAAAGAAAAGCCAGAAAATGAAAACTGGAGTCATCACCCGTCATCTTGAAGGTCCCCCCACCTCCCACTGCAGCCCCAGCCTCAACCCCAGAGTACCACGTGGACGGCTGAAGGGGGGGAACTAGCTTCACAAGCTATGCTACACCTTTCACACACACACACACACACACACACACACTCAGATCACAGACCAAGACGTGACCTGGGTGCATGTAAACAGACACACACACACATACCACCTTTTCCCTTCTGAACCCATCCTTGAGTTTCTCCCCCTTTGATCTGCTTCCACCCGGGTATTTAGAGAGGTGGAAAAGGGAATGACACATTAGTTGATTTTCCCTGATTCTCAGAAATAAAGGCCAGTCTTCGAAAGCAGGCCACCTTCTGCCATATAGTTCTGAGAGAGAAAACACAAAACAAAAAAAAGCCCAATATAATGGCGTTAGGCACTTGCCCCATAGTTTATTGAGCAATGCTTTTGTTAAGAAGTGGGGCATTAGGCCTTAGGAATTCTAGGGGCTCACTCTCAGAAGATTTTGCTGATTTGATTAGTAATAGTATTTAATAAGTACTGGAACATTTCTGAAAGTGAAAGGCGGCTTTACCAATAATTATACTGGGACCACAGTTGTAAACTCGGACCCCCTCAGGCAAAACAGGGTATGTGAGCACTCCCACATGCATTCTCTCATTTAATCCATCTATCAGCTCTGAAAGGTATGTTGTATTATGCCATCAGGAAATGGACACGCAGAGAGGTTAAGTGACTTGTCTAGGGTCACACAGCTGGGATATAGTTCAATAAAGATATATGTGATTTAGGCCCACATTTTTCTCCTTATCCATGCTGCCTCTCAAGGAACTCTTATCTAGCTGGGTGTAGCATAGGGAGATGAAAGTTTATAATATTTCTAAAAATGACTCGTGAGCCCAAAAGGCATATGGCTCTTCTCCTGACATAAATGGATTCTGCTAGAGCAGTCAAGTACTGTGGAGAGGTTACGATTTAGCTTCAACGTGTAAGCACTTTGGTACCAAGAATGTGATTGGGGTTGGTTCACTTGTTTCTCCACCCAGGCCAATAATAGAAAACCCCATATGTAACCAAAAGGCAATGGGAAGTCAACATCTGCTTTCAGTATGGCTGAGTCGCTCCTGGTGGACTCGACCCTCTTGTATATAACAACTATAGAAAACAACCGTGACTCAAAGGTATTGCAAAATGAACAGAAGCGGGCAGATTCTGGAGAAGAGTAGACACTTGGAAAAAGGTAACATCACAAGATCAGTTACTTGTTTTTATAGGTTTTAGCCTGACGGCAAGCTGAGACTAACACTGTGAAGGACACTCAAAATTCTGATGGAAAACCTGCAGTCCTTCTGGCATGAAAAATCAGAGAACAAAGGTCAGGGCAACCACAGCCACTGGAAGGTCAGGGGGGAATCCTGGAGAGGAGAGAGCTAAAGAGGAGAAGCCAAAATTCTGAGTATAAACTCTGTCTGACCTCTGAACCACGTATGTACAGGACAGAATCCAACTAAGGATAAAGGAACTTAACTGAGATTTGAGCTGCCATCCAAGAGATGGAATCTACAGTTTGATTCCAAAAAAATTAATTGTTGGGTATAATAAAAATCAATAGTCTTGAGAGGAATATAGTGGAATCCAGAGTCTCCACAACGTAACATTCACATTATTCAGAACGTAATCCAAAATTACTCACTATGTGAAGAAAAAGTAAATGTGACCCATTTTTAAGTGAAAAGACAATCAATGGAGATCAACTCTGAGATGACCCAGATGTTAGAATAAGCAGACAAATATTTTTAAAGTAGCTAACTATGACTATGCTTGGATTTTTTTTTTTTTTTTGAGGAAGATTGGCCCTGAGCTAAAATCTGTGCCCATCTTTCTCTACTTTATATGTGGGACACCTGCCACAGCATGGCTTGACCAGCAGTGCATAGGTCCGTGCCTGGGATGCAAACTGGTGAGCCCTGGGCCGTCAAAGTGAAGCACGTGAAATTAACCACTACATCACTGGGCCAGCCCCAAATTATGCTTGTGTATTTAAAAGAAAATATGCTTGCAGTTAATGTAAAAAGAAGAAAAAGCAGAGAAACAGGAGCAAAAAAAAGAAAATATGGAAATTCTAGAACTGAAAATACAATATGAAAATTTTTAAAATTGCACTGGATGTCTTCAATAGTAACATGAAGGTGACAGAGGTCAGTGAACTTGAAGATAAGAAATTATGCTATCAGAAGAATAGACAGTAGAAATGATTAAACACAGGAACAGTCTCAGGGAGCTGTGTGGCAGCATCAAAAAAATCTTACATACATGCACTTAGTATCCCAAAAGGAGAGGAGAGAGAGAATGGTGAAGAAACAATATTTGAAGAAATAATCGTGGAAATTTCCCCAAATTTGGTCAAAAACATAAATTTACAGGTTCAAGAAGCTCAGCAAACCTCAAGCAGGATAAATACAGAGAAAAACATGCCTAGGCCCATAATAGTCAAACTGCAAAAAAAAACCCCCAAAATTCAAGGGAAATACTGAAAGCAATCAGTGAAAAATGACACATTACACATTACACACAGACAAACAAAAATTCAAATGATTACTGACTTCTCATCAGAAAACGTGAAGGCCAGAAGAGAGTGAAACAACATCTTTAAAATGCTGAGGGGGAAATGCTGTCAGTCCAGAATTCTATCATAAACAAAAATATCCTTCAAGAATAAAGGCAAAATAAAGACATTTTCAGGTAAATGAAAACTAAGAAAATTCATCACCATCCTGATGTTCAGGAAGGAATGAAGAGCATTGAAAATGACAAATATCTAGGTAAATACTAAAGACTATTTTTTCTCTCAATTTCATAGAACTTTTAAAAGTAATGAATATAACATTGACCTGTGGGGTTTCTGATCTTCTTAGATAGAATGTATATGACAACAATAACATGACAGACGGCATAAATGGATGTTGAAATTTCTACGTTTTATATGAAGTGGTACAATGTTAACTCTAAGTAGGATGCAAAAATATAAGGATGTATATTATAATCTCTAGAGCAACCATTGAGAAAATAATGCAAATAGATATAACGAAAGAGCCTGAAAAAATTAAAATTCAATTGTAATAAATACTAAAATAAAGCAAGAGGCAACATAAAAGAGGAACAAAATTCGGAGGGGCAGATAGGAAATAAAATAAAATGGTAGACCTAAATCCAACCATGTCAAAAATTACATTAAGTTTTAAAGGACTACTCACTCCAAATAAAAGGCAGATATTTTCAAGATGGATAAAAAAATGAAACACAAACCATATGCTATCTACAAGAAGTGCACTTCAAATATGAAGACATATAGAAAGCAATTAAATGAAAAATATGTATAAAATAAAAACAGTAAGCATAAATAGGATGCGATGACTATATTAAAATGAGATAGGGGCCAGCCTGGTTGTGCAGTGGGTAAGTGCGCACGTTCCGCTTTGGCAGCCCGGGGTTCGTCAGTTCGGATCCCGGGTGCGGACACGGCACTGCTCATCAAGCCATGCTGTGGTGGGCGTCCCACATAGAAAGTAGAAGAAGGTGGGCACGGATGTTAGCTCAGGGCCAGTCTTTCTCAGCAAAAAGAGGAGGATTGGCAGATGTTAGCTCAGGGCTGATCTTCCTCAAAAAAAAAAAAAATTAAAAAAATAAATAATTAAAATAAAATAGACTGCAAAACAAAGAATATTACCAGAAATAAAGAGGGCTATTTCATTGAGATAAATAGGTTAGGTCTAGAGTTAGTATTAGGAAGATATAACAACATAAATGTGTATTCACTTATTAGCAGAGCCCCAAAATAAACAAGGCAAAATTTGAGAGGACTAAAGAGAGAAATAGACAATTTTGCAATCAAAATTAGAGATTTTAACACCCCTCTAAACTAGGATCTGAACAAACATTATCAACCACTTTGAGGCCTGATTGATATTTATAGTATACCATATCCAACAACTGTAGAAGGCACATTTGTTTTCAAGTGCACATGGAATACCAAGTTTTTCAAGTGTATGAAACACTTGAAAACATTCATATACTGGGCCATAAAACAAGTCTCAATAATTCTAAATAGATTGAAATTATACTGAGCATATTCTGTGAACAAAATCAAATGAACAAGAAATCAATAATAACAATATATCTTAGATATGTCCCAAATATCTGGGACTTAAAGAACACACTCCCGAATAATCCATGCAGCGAAGAAGGAAGTAGAAAATATTTTGAACTGACTAATCAAGAAAATTGGGGCAAGAAGATTGAGGCAACTTCCTCAATCAAATAAAGAGCATCTGTCACTATTTGCAGATGACACGATTTTATATACATAGAAAACCCTAAAGAATCCACTGAAAAACTTTTAGAAGTAATAAATCAATACAGTCAAGTTACAGGATACAAAATTAACATACAAAAATCAGTTGCGTTTCTACACATTAACAACGAAGTAGCAGAAAGAGAAGTTAAGAATATAATTCCATTTACAGGGCCGGCCCTGTGGCCAAGTGGTTAAGTCCACATGCTCCACTTCAGCAGCCCAGGGTTTGGCTGGTTTGGATCATGGGTGTAGGCATGGCATGACTCATCGGGCCATGCTGAGGTGGAGTCCCACATAGCACAACCAGAGGCACTCTCAACTAGAATATACAACTATGTACTGGGGGACTTTGGGGAGAAGAAGAAGGAAAAAGAGAAAAAGAAGATTAACAACAGATGTTAGCTCAGGTGCCAATCTTTAAAAAAAAAAAAAAGAATACAATCCTATTTACAATTGCAACAAAAAGAATAAACTATCTAGGAATAAACTTAACCAAAGAAGGGAAAGATCTGTACACTGAAAACTATAAAACATTGTTGAAATAGGGCCTACAATGGAGAAAAGAAAGTCTCTTTAACAAATGCTGCTGGGAAAACTGGACAGCCACAT